ATGACAACTGACAAAGCATGTCCAAAATACAACATTTTCAAAGAACAAGATGGCTGCCAGTCAGCCATTTTGAATCGAATCGCTAAACCACTGCATGTGCATATGTCCCACATAAGGTACTAGGCACATGCAAAGAATGAATGGAATCGGTCCACAGGATTCTGAAATATGACGTTGGATAGACTGACGCACGGACACATGGACGGTCGGACGGACAGACTCAGGAACTCACGGACGGTCGGGGACATGTATCCTAACATGTATGATCTATGTACTAAATCTGAATGAAAACTGACAAAGCATGTCCAAAATACGACATTTTCAAAAAAACAAGATGGCTGCCAGTCGGCCATCTTTGATCCAATTGTGAAATAAATCGTCATGGACATGTATCCTAACATGTATAATCTGTGTACCAAGTTTGAATGAAAACTGACAAAGCATGTCCAAAATACAACATTTTCAAAAAACAAGATGGCTGCCAGTCGGCCATTTTGAATCGAATCGCTAAACCACTGCATGTGCATATGTCCCACATAAAGTACTAGGCACATGCAAAGAATGAACAGAATCGGTCCAAGGAATTCTGAGATATGACTCCGGACGGACGCACAGACGCACGGACACACGGACACACGGACGGACGGACGGAGACCGAATTATAAGTCCCCGTTTTCGGACTTCGTCCGAACGGGGACTAATAATAATATTTATGTATCAATAGATAATTTTAGGCGTGAAAATAGCAGCCCTTTTACAGGCACTTTAACTATATATTAACATTATAATGGTTTTGTACTTTTTTTTTATTTTTCTAAAACTCATTTTAATCTTTTCACTACCAGTTCCATCTTTTCATCACAAATAGTCCTGTTTATAGTAAAAAAGTAAAAAAATGAAAAAATGAAAACTGAAAATTGACTCAAGTTTTATCTGTTGGCTGCAAAATTAAGATTAAATTCAAGAAATATTGAAGAATATTAGAAAAATATGCAGAAAAAATTAGGCGAGAATGTCAAGTGGTGAAAAGGTTAATAACATTTTGAAATGAATGATCTATGCATTGATCACACTTTGTAATCTAAAAAAAAAGCATTATCACTACATTGATCATCAGAGATTAAGCTGTCTAAGTATTCAAATAGATGCTGGGATTCAGTAGGCAGGCTGACACCATACCACTCTACTTTAAATTTTTAATAGCATTGTTTTGAGTTACGTCATTACCACCTCATAAATATGCATGAGCTATGAGGTCAATTTATTTAGACAAAAAAAACAGTAATCAAAAACTAGAATAGCAACAGGTGTATTTATAAATTTGTTGTGACATTGAAATAATTTAATATGGTCATTTTTCTGGTGATACACTTCCCTGGGATTCATAACACATCACTGAAAAACTGTAGCGTTGCTAGCAGTTAGGATTGAGCATATAGTCTGCACACATTTTCTACATTTAATCTGTTTCATGTGCTAAACTCTGTATTCCATAGTTTTGTCAGTTCTATTTTTAGTAGTCTCATAATTGTGATCAATGCTATTTCAAAATCAAACAATTTTCCCAAATTATGCAAAAGTTTGTTTCACTCCTGCCAAACGCCCTTGACGATTAAGTTGCCAACATTTGAACAATTAAGTGGTCTAAAATAGAATTGTTGTATTCTGTTTATAACACTAAAGTATGATGGCTGCCACATGTGAGCTAAACCCCAAAGGAACATGATTAGGGAACAGATTTCTTGAAGATATATACTAAGATTGCACTTACCGGTAGTATTATCAATCACAGATTTTGCAGAATTATGTCTGAATATATTGTGCATCCAATCTGATCAAACAAACACTGATCGACAAATCATGGTAATTTTTTTAACTGAGTCAGCTACTAGGTGAACAGGCTTTTTGCTTCTCAGAACAGAAGTAAAATTTTAATGATTAACAACATACCTGGATCCACTGATTCAATGTAAACTGGAGTCTGGCCAGTTAGTGTGAATCCAAAAACACCACCAATTCGGTTAATATGGACAACTCTGCAAAGTAAAGATTGGATTGTTACACCTACCAATCAACAATATTGAGCAGCAGCAGCAGCAAGAAAGAAAGATTTCCTGATTTTCATAATCACATAAAACTTTAAATATGAACACAGCCCTCTATTTTACCTCTTTTTAGATATTGGTGGCATCAACTCCCTGGCGTTAGCAGGTTCATTGCGATACTGTTGATTCATACTCGCAATTGCCGTATCAAACTTCTGACGATGACTTGGTGGTATAAATATCCTAGAAATGAGAAACAACTAAAAAATGTTATTTGTGTTGCTTTTATTAATGTATAATTAATTATAATACCAAGCGTTGCAATGGCGCAGGTTATTGGCGGATCGGCACTACATGATGTTGAGTTAACTGGACAGTGGTTGAGATCAATACACAAGCGCCTGTAGAAGATTGTACAATAGCAATATCCACTATCCTACATTTGTTAAACCTAAAACTCATTTTATCTGCCAAATTATATATATTAGAGTATTTTTGCACGACTCCCGAAATGTCACTAACCACATGGTCGATTAACTAAATTGTACGGGTATAAAAATTTTTTTTTTACATTTGGGTAATTGAGATAAGGAACTCTGCACAGTCCACTATTTCATAACAGGGCTTGGATGAGTCACCCAGTCTCACATTATTGTGCACATTCCCATTCTTGTCACTCTTCTTCGCATGCAATAATGGGCAGCTTATCATTTCTCCAAATAGAAACTGGGAATCAACTAAGTCAATCAAAGTATACCTGTGGTAGGGAAGGAGGAGGGTTATTTGAAAAATTGTTTTTCAAGTTTATGTAAAATACATACACAACATTCACTGGGGTTTTAAAGACAGGAAGTTGCAGTGATTTCACTGGGGTCTTCAAGACAGGAATTTTTAAGTCACAGTTATTTCACCGGGGTCTTTAAGATAATAATTTTTAGAACTGATCAACCGAACAATACAGTACATAAACCTCTAGGATTTTTTTGACAAAACGTTCAGTTTGTATTACAATGAAAATATTACAGACATTAAATACATGTAAATGCTTATCTGTTGTAATAAACCATGACATTAAGACCATGTTAGCGGAAACCATATGGTAATATTCAACATACATTAAATAGTGGCAAAGTAGTAAACAAAGGTGTCATTGCAGTAACTGAATAGCCATGCACAAAACAAACAAACGAACAAAACAAAGAAATCAACCAACACACTTCAATTTTTGAAGACAGAAAATTGTCATATTTTCACAAAAGTCATTGGGATTGGGACGTTGTGCTGAAAACTACAGTAAAACTTCAGTTGGCACAATATTTCTTCTTTTGAAATTCTCAGTCAGGTTTGTCTACTACTGTAAAATCATTTTTTTTTCACCGGTATTTAATTTCCTTATTTTGATGCTTTCAGCACTTTCACTATGTTTCAAGAACTTGACAGAGAAACAATGAGTACTATTTTTATATTGACATCACATGGATTTAATTTATCAAATTTTACTTATCGTCAAAATTAAGAAGATTAAAAACAAGCAAACAATGAATGTGATTACAGTATCAAATTTGAGCATTCCCTGGGTTATTCAAAAATTAGTGCCATAAATAACAATATTTGTTTAAAATAAAATAGAAAATTGCACCATGAACTATCATGGACATATAAACAGACTAAATTATGTCATACAATTATTTAAGCATTTTCAGTAATTGATTTACCATATATGATATTTTCCCCTGTACATGTATTAGTTTAATACACAAGTTATACTAGTCATTTAAAACGACAATAGTTGTGATTTTTAACATTTTTTGGTTTAAATATAACCACATACAGATGACCAAATCTCACCAAAATTTTGTTTTATACATAATTGCATGGACAAAAGTGACCCACCCTACACAAGGAAAAATCACATAACGGGAATGAAATCAGTCACATGACAGAGACCATAGAAAATTATGATGCACAATGATCACTTATATGAAGTGACACATAAAATCATCAGTGAGAGGCTTAGCCTCTCAAGATGGCAAGGTATTTGACATTCCACCCAGGACATCTTGTACCATAATCCAGAAGGTTCGCTTAACAAAAACAGCGGATATCTTTTGCTACTTGCAAGTAATTTAAAGTACAGCATCAGTATATAGCATGTAATCCAGGTTTTTAGTGTCCACATTTCGGCGATGGCATTACAAATTAATACTAATGACACAGGAAATGTACGGTATTATTAAAAATTAAAATCAGAGAAAAAAGAACGATACTGACATCTATTGCCATATTAAATGTAGCACTGAAATTTCAATTTCCTAATTTGGCAAATTAAATAAACAACAGAAAATAAATAGTTTTTCAGCTTATAAATAATTTCAGCTGTCTGTTTGTCTGACGTCACACAGAGTGCAGTTTACATGCCTCAGAACACACAGCACGACTCCTAACAACAACAATTTACATTGAGGTCATACCCATTGCATTACTTTTAGCATGCAGTATTAAAAAAAAATGTTGATAGACATCTGCAAAATAAACCATTTAATTACCTGATTTCTTGAAGTAACTGTTTCTGGGTAGGTGTATTTAACAAGACTGTCAACGTCTTCGCTAAATGCTCCACATTTTTATCTCTTGCATACTGTTTCAACAGCGCCAATAAAGCATCTTTTTTAGCTGGATCCCCGTAGAGAACTTCATCCACCTGTGAAAGTGTAAATCAAATACAAGAAATCAGTTATCAATAGGGTCATTTAATTATTATTTGATATACAGTCATTAAGCGGCATGCATTTCACTTTCAGATTTTTTACATGTGTCGCATGCATCACATGGGACTCATATTGAACACGATGTGGCATGGCAACAGTGGCATTGTAATTTTTGATCACCACTTTTTATTCTCATCATCAATAGCTACATGTACAATGAAAAAACTGTGGTAAAAATTTGAGAAACAGAAGCAAATTTTGGGATGGCTTCATATATCCTATTTCATAATTACATGTAACTTCATTATCTGCTCTATGTACCATTAATATATTAAATAATGTGTATTTAATAAAGTAACTCTCTTAAACACTACAATGAGAGTAAAATCAAGCATGTTAGAAATTTTTGCGTAGAAATCATATCAACCATGATCCTAGTTCAACTGGTGACAGGGCCGCTTTATTACAACAGTATTATTGGAAAGGGAAGGGGGAATGAATACTAGAAGCTAATAAATATATTTGCATAGTTTTAATTTTTCAATTAATTTGTTTTCTAAAATTGTGATTAATCATGCATGCATATGGGTTAATTGATGAAATATGATACCAGTATGAAATAATTATGCTATTATAATATGAGGATCAAGGTCATATGTATAACCTTCACATGACTATGCAGGACTACTGGTATACTTTATTTACAGTAGATTTATAAACACTGTATTGTTTTATTATTACAATGAATGTAATTTTGTTTTATCATTCACCGTAGACAAGAAGTATGGGCTAAGATATGTTTGCATATCGGATAGACACAATTGCATTCACGCACAGGAGGAAACATAGATAGCCCGGGCTAAGGATCTGAACCGGGTCTAAAAAAATGGCCAGATTTAATCTGTGCTTAGCGTTTAAATCCGTGCTAAACATGCACAGATGTTTTCTTAGCACTGGCTAAGGTATTTGACCTCTTAGCCCTTAGCCCATAAACACTACTAATAAGGTCTACGCTTTCACAAAATAAACCTATGTGTTTTTTTTCCTATTTTTCCAACATTTTGAAAAAAAAAACATGTAAGTTGATAAGAAATGATAAAATACAAAAAATTAGTGAAATTTTGCTCCATGATTCTGGCTTAAAAAATTATGGCATTTGAAGGTTTATCAATTTCTTCATAATTTTTTAGACTGCTGAAATCAGTATTGCAGGTGAACTAACGGTAAAAGGAAAACAAATTCTGTAGTTTTTTTAGACAAGCAGTAACTTGCATGAAAGATTAGTCATGAATGCAATCTAGTAATCAAATTGCAAACATTTGCATCGTAGACTATTTACAGTAAACGTGTATCACTTTTCCCTCAATGCTTTTATTACTGCACTGACATGTATCTACATGCTAGGCTCAGAAAATAAAAACAAAAGTGTCTGGTCATTTTTAATTTTAAAAAAATTCTCGTAAAAAATAGTATTTTTATTTTGCAAAAATATTAATTTGTTTTTTTCTAAAATCTGACTATTAGACCTTTTAAAAAAACCTGTTACACAACCATTTTTAATTGTCATGTGGGATGACCAAAAGAACATAAATATTTCATTACTGGACCTAATTATGACCATACTCGCACAATATATAGACATGTGCACGTTATACAAAATGAAAAAAGCAATATTCAAATTTGTTGATAGAATTTTAACATTTTTAAACCGGATGTGAGGGTGAATGACTCCTGGCACCTAGGTAATTCGATACTATGCGTGTTGAGTCTAGGTAAAAGAATATCCAGATGAATTGAATAACCTTTGAACTGGCTTACAATGTTTTGTAATACTATTACTTTTGTATTATCTAATCAACAAATAATGAAATCACGTTGTAATCTGATGCTATTAGATAATTATATACCTGCCACGCAATTTAACAACAAATCTTGGAGATATATAACCATGTTTTATTTATTATTAGCAGATGTGCTTCATGTATTTGACAGAAGTGTGTCTGTGCTCAAAATAAGTCGTACATTTTTGGTCCAATATATAATAAAATTTTTACATGTACTTCTAGTGATATGCTTTTAATAATGCAAGCAAAATATGATGTGTATTCGCATGTTTTCATTTATATCAATATCTAAGGTTTTCATCGTGTTGTTATTTATTTCGAGGGAAATCATTTCATGTAATATACCAATTTTCTTCATTTTTTCCAGGATTATTTTTTAATCGGCACATGGAGACATATAATAAAGTCGAGAGTCATACAATATGCTATAATCTACTACATGTAACATGCCTGCATGTTCCAATAAGTTGTGTAAATTTGTTTTATGTGCTTCGGTACACATGTCAAAATGAAGAACAGCTGTACCATGTCAGGAATTGATCAAATAGTTGTTCGGTTTCTATGACACCCATCATTCTCATTTGCATTTTCAAGTGTTAGAAACTATTCTGCTCAAAAAGCTATGAAAAAAAATACAGCACATTTAACTGCAAACCAGACCCCTCCCCTACAAAAAAATATTCAAAGCAGAATCTGTTATTAGGTAGTTATTAGTTATTAGTGAGGTGGTGGTGGATTTGCACAGCATATCCACGGGGGCAGACATCCGGGCATTTTGACCGCCTGGCAACCGGAGGCGGTGAAAACAAAGGCCCAAAACTCGCAGAAAACGGTATTTTGGGATGATTGTTGAGACTCCTCTGAACAGTGTAACAAGATTAGCCTTACGTGTGTAACATATATAAATTTGGTTGTTCGGGATTACTTCAAAGTTGAGTTTGTGTTGTTTTCTCGAATTTTCACCGGCTCCACCGGCGTTCCACAGCAGCGCGCACAGAGCCCATAGAAATGCATGTACAGTGGTGCGCGTCGTAGCAACATGGAACGTCTTGTGATGTAGCTCCGCCCCCGAGGATATATATTTTTGCAAGGTTTATGAAGTGAAAATTTATTGAATGAATATTCATATCAAAGACATATAGCACTTTCCTATGACTTCAGTTTGGAGCATTTCTTAGATGCCTATTGTCACATGTACAGTGTAAACCGCCATCCCAGAAAAGTTGAGTGGGTGCATGTTTTCTTCTTTATTTACACTGAAAAAGTTCTAAACTATATTGTATGTCTTTATAAACATCTGCGATCACAAAGTCGTGATGATAAAATGTGCAAAAAATAAACAGTATTTTTGAAAGCATACATAATCGTTAGTTATGCAAAATTCCTAATTATTCATACATACAACAAAGATACAGCCATCACCACTAAATTTCGATGGTATGGTAAAGAATATAATCAAAGAAACAGGCCAATGAAACATTTCTATCCCTTATGTGTGTTCCTGTCGCTAACAATATAATTGTTTAATATATCAGGCAAATTATTTCAAAAAATTTTATTCTAAAATTCCTAAAGTGCGTGATTTAAGACTAAACTTTATGTGATTTCTGACACTACTGCAATCAGAACACACCCTTGGCCCATCAAGAAATCACCCCTATAGGACCAATAATAAAACATAGATCAGCAAGTATAGTAACGATTACTTAACAGGATATATCAACCTTTTTTCATTTTTTATTTCATTTTATTTTTTATTCTTTATTATTTTTTTAAGATTTGATGAACACATTTGAATTTGGATTTCTCAGTGGAAAACATTATTTCACATTCAATTGGTAACTTTAACAAAAAACTCCAATGCTCTTTTGCTTTATGATAGAATAAACGTTTAAATGAAATCCTGTTACTACATGTATATATGGATTAGTTGGCCTGAATATAATTTTAATTTAAATTATCTAGACAACCCCTAATTAATTAATATGAACATTATTTTTGCGGTTGAATGTGAGGGTAAATGGTGAACAAAATATAGTGAGCAAAATTTTGGAAAGTAATTAAAGTAACTACTCGGTATGCACTATTTTGGTCTAAATCAGATCAGGAATCCTTGGAGAAATTGTGAAATAGATTAAGAATTTATTTTTTGAAATGAGTGGGGGAATCCTTTCACGTGCACATGCATTCAGAATTTTCGTTCACATTTTCTTTTTTTCAATATAGCGATATATGTAATTAAATACCACATCTTAAAGAACTCCCTGATTTTTAAATATAAATATTAAATACTAGCTTACTCTTTCACCCACCCCACCCCCAATTTAGTTTAAAATGTGGGCCCTTATCTGTTTCAAAGGGAAATTTTACTCAACATTTATGGCAAGGATTCCATATCTGATTTGGTGCTCATCGATTCTGGCCCGCCAAATTTTACTAACTTATTCACTTACTCTTTCAACATGGCGTCTTACATGCAGACTTCAGTATAGTCTGAATAAAGCCTTCATGAGTACTGAAGTAATTCCGTGTGGTCTACATTGTATCAACATAGGATTGCTGTAGCAGCCCAAAAATTACACAACATAATAAACCCTTGATTACTACCTAAAAATTCTTATTTTTTTGTTAACTCCATAACCATTTTAAATATTGTTGCGAATTATATTGTATTGTATTCTATTCTTCATGTATTTTATTTTATTGTATTTCATTAAATTGCATTTTAATTGTAAATCTACTGTATGTGTATTCTTATTTACTAATGTTGGAAAGGAATTGGGAAGTCTGTACTTGGCAAGAGAATGTATATTGCCAAGTTATGGTAGGTACTCAAAGTTGCAGGCGATCATGACTATGCAAGTGTATATGCAAGTTTTGTGAAACTCACCTTTTGGAAAAAGTGTGTCATTCTTTTATTTCTGTCTTTCACTGACATAGGGGTAACTTTCCTGTTCCATTTATTCTTTACAGCTTTCTGCTTTGCCCCTGGTATCACCATCAATCGAAGTTTATTGGCTCCTTTCACAAACATCTTGGCTGCGTCTGAGTGGTGTATCGCAACGCCGTTGATTTCCAGAACCATATCGCCCACTTTCACCCCTCCTTTTTCGGCAGCACCATTCTTTTCCACAATCTGCACATACACCGGACCAGCGCCGATCACAGTGAAACCGAACTTCCCATTTTTATCGCGTCTTATTTCTATGGTCCTTAAGCAAGACACAACAACGAGATTCGGAGGCACAGTGGAACTAGATTTTGCTATTGTTGTGATTTCATCACATGACAAATTACTCACATTCTGATTGTCAAGTTCAACGATTTGATCGCCGGGTTGTAGCCCCGCTTGCTTCGCCGGACTCCCATCATCTACTGTAATAATGTAGCAAGGAGAGTCACCGCCAATTTGAAATCCAAATCGCTCCGGCCAATGAGCATTCCCATGAGCCATCTGTATGAGTGTATGAGATATTCCAACTGATAATAAAAATATGATAAAAATTGATAAATATATTAATATAATCCTCTTTTTTTTTATCACAAGTCAACAAGACCATCAACAAGTATTTAAAAACATCCAACTTTTTGAAGATTCCAAAAACAGAAAAAAAATGTTTTAAGACTGAAAATTTTGGTGGGAATCGGTTATTGAAACATTTCTGCAATTTTTTAATCTTGCTAAGTAGATATTTCAGAATACATATAATGTTGCCTAGCCATCGGTGACTCAGTATATTGACATAAAAAACAAAAGATTAAATATAAGTGTTGTAACTTGTATTGATCATTTCTTATAAATATCATAACTAATTTTTTATGTCATATTTATCCTTACGGTACAAGCGACTTTGGACAGGCCTTGTTTTTGACTCTTGATTTTTGAGAAATTATTTCCATATTATGAAACGTACATCACCATTCTCAAATTGTTAAATAGCTGCCAATATCAGAACATAATCTGGTACTTGTACCAGAAATAATTACAGGTGGTTTTCGTCTAAACGCAAATGATACCAAGTAATTTACATAACAATAACTAATTATGATGTGGTGTTTTATTCATATAATTAATTAAATTACAACTATATAACTGTGTTCTCTCGACTGGGCCTGGGTTGTTGGAGAGGTGTGTTCAGGGCATACATACAGATATCCATGTATAAAGACTGCCAACAGTATACCACTTGAATCTACAAGTTTAGAATTGGATTTCACGATTTCCGTGGACTTTACTCAAGAAATCTCGCAACAATACACCATACTCTCACACGCATATAATAACGGCAGTTTCGTAACCATTAAAAAACGTTTTTTCACATTAAATTTAAAAGTAAACAACAACAAAGCAAAGAACAAATTTGCTGACTGTACGCCATCACTAATCAACCGTACGATTTGACCTTTTTTATAGAGCCTTACCTTATTGTTTTATCTATAACTTACACACCGTGTTGTTAGCCCCATTATATTATCTCAGAATATTCCACGATCGTTTATGCTTTTATTTAGGCGTTTACCTCTTTGCAGCATCGATCCGCATCACACGATTTAGTCACATCACTTCCACACACATTGCGAGACCTCGAAAAAACGGGATTTCGAAACGAGAACTCTCACTTTTTTGGTTCATCCCATTTTGAGACCTTGATTAGGGGGAGGTGGCACATTTTCAAATGCAGTCGTTTGTTACAATTTCACTGCAAGTTATGTTCCTGAATTTATTTTATAAACTGTATATTCTTAATGTAAGTGTAAAAGTGTGATATAATAAAATGAAAAACAAAGTAGTTTACTATTTTAACTATTTAACCTCTTTCCGTTTGCACCCCACAGATAATTGTGATTGCCCAATACAACAATACTCAAATATCGTCGAACCACCTGTTCTACTGGAGTAATATTACTGTTCTGCCTAAAATATCAGTTTATGTTTGGCCTTTATGTTAATTTATTTTTCAATAATTTATGTTTTCAATTTAGTTCCACTCTCCTCCTGTTTCAAATTATCAATTTATTAATAATAAAGCAAAGGTTAGAGGGTATTCGTTTTTTTTTTTAAACAGAGTTAGGTACGCTTAAAAACATTTTCTCGAGACTGGCCTACAGAGGGCAGCCGACATAACACAGCTGTTGGTGAAGGGTTATGTTTGTGTGAGTATTAATAATACTAGTACCAAGGTAACACAGTAGGTGAAATGGTGTTAGATCACAGCTGTGGCTGTTCAGGGACGTTTTTTTGTGATGGTGCTAACGACAGGCAATAGTTTTAGCTGGACGTTTGCAGTCACTCTACTGTGCGTCTATTTATAGCCCGATCTGTGGTAATATACCTCCCCAGGAAACATTCCTGCTGGGTTTAGAGAGCAGTACAGCACGTAAAGTGGTTGTGTTTTGTTTGTATGTGATAATTCTAATTGGTGGGATCTTGTTTATGAAACGCCGATAGTCTGTACTGACTAGTAACTATGTATAATCCTGTCTATCTTATTACCAACAGTAGTTTATGTTTGAATACATGTAGGTGTAACGTTCCTGTGTGTTGGGGCACAGGAAGCCTAGGAAAGATTAGCCTTTATTAGTCCCCGTTTGGACTTATGTTTTGACCTCCGTGCGTCCGGACCTGTATCATAGACATGCCTGGACCAATCACAATCAAACTTCACACATACATCATACATGATATTATACATATGCACGTCAATTTGTTTCACGATCTTATTCAAGATGGCCGAATGGCGGCCATTTTTGTGCTAAAAATCATCAAAATCAAACATTTTTTGGCTGTTTACAGATGGATTTTGTTCAAAATTGGTATATATATATTAGACATTATAGGACCTTGATGCACATCATTGATTTTCAGATAAGATTCAAAATGGCCAACTGGCGGCCATTTTGTTTCAATGAATGTGGTTCTAGTGCCATATCTCTGACTTTCTTTGACTGATTATGTTCAAATTTTAAATATTCATTATACATCATATCATAGATACAGATATATTAGTTTGACGATCCTATTCAAAATGGCCGAATGGTGGTCATTTTTGTGCTAAAAAATCATCAAATATCAAGCATTTCTGGCATTTATGGATGGATTTTGTTCAAACTTGGTACATACATTAGACATTACGGGTTCCTGATGCATGTCATTTTATTTTTCAGATTGGATTCAAAATGGCTGACTGGTGGCCATTTTGTTTTAATGATTGGGCTTCTAGAGCCATATCTCCGACTTGTTTTGACTGATTATGTTCAAATTTTACATATTCATTATACATCATGTCATAGATAAACAGATATATTGGTTTGACGATTCTATTCAAAATGGCCGAATGGTGGTCATTTTTGTGCTAAAAAATCATCAAATATCAAGCATTTCTTGCATTTATGGATGGATTTCGTTCAAACTTGGTACATACATTAGACATTACGGGTTCCTGATGCATGTCATTTTATTTTTCAGATTGGATTCAAAATGGCTGACTGGTGGCCATTTTGTTTTAATGATTGGGCTTCTAGAGCCATATCTCTTAAATGCTTTGACTGATTATATTCAAATTTTATATATTCGTTATACATCATGTTATATATATACATGTATTCAAAATGGCTGATTTTTAATGCTGTTCTAGAGCAATAACTCGTAATATGGACAAGTACTCGTTTGACGATCAGATACAAATGTCAATCATTTTAATGTATTCCTGACATGGTTATATTCCAGTCATATTACTGTAAACAAAACTATATATCTTAAATTTGATAACTAATGGGGACTGCGCCATGCATGGCTTGTTAGATTATTTCATTGGTTCTGTATCCCTTTCTCTAGCAGTCTGGGCATGTTGCCTAGACTTCGGTCATTAACCATGTAAATTTACTGCATGATCACCAAGCATGGGGTGGCAACTATTATCTGATACAGCTTGTGTAGAGATCACATAACTGTCATTCATTTTTTTTAAAATTAGCATATTCAGATTAGCAGTGTGCTATATTTATCAGCTAATCAAGTCATGGTCATCCATTGTTTGAAAGATTAGCATATTCAGATTAGTAGTGTGCTATATTTATCAGCCAATCAAGTCATGGTCATCCATTGTTTGAAAGATTAGCATATTCAGATTAGTAGTGTGCTATATTTATCAGCCAATCAAGTCATGGTCATCCATTGTTTGAAAAATTAGCATATTCAGATTAGTAGTGTGCTATATTTATCAGCCAATCAAGTCATGGTCATCCATTGTTTGAAAGATTAGCATATTCAGATTAGTAGTGTGCTATATTTATCAGCCAATCAAGTCATGGTCATCCATTGTTTGAAAAATTAGCATATTCAGATTAGCAGTGTGCTATATTTATCAGCCAATCAACGTCAACTACTGTCTGCATGAGCTAAATGCAACTGTAGGCAACATTTTCAGAATACTGTGGAAAGGAACGAAGGACCCGTGAATTATGGGTAAGGTAACTGGGCTAATTAATGAATGAAAGATGGATGATGGTACCATAGCAAAACATACCAGACATAGTATTTTTCCCGTAAAACTATACAGCAGAATAGTCTCTATATCCACACATAGCTTGTGGGAATTATAAACAAAACTGTAAAAGATTGAGCAACTGGTGTAAAAGTAACAACATGTTATTAACATTAATAAATGCTACATTATAGGCATTGATTTTTAGGTTGAATTTTGGATCAGGTTATTGAAAAGGTTACTGCCATCAAAATCCTTGGGGATACTATACAATCAAACTTAAAGTGAATCAACATGTTACATTATTTCTCTAATTACCATTTTCTGACAGGATAATAATCTATACCAGTTATATTCAGCCTATATTGGAATATATTGTGCCTGTATGGCACCCTGAAATAACGACTATTCAATAACAGTACGGTAATGTTCAATAACATTCATTGTGAATTACAGTTGTATTTTACAACCACTTACAATGATGCTTCAGCTTTAACAAATTTTAATATCTTTCATTAACATAGATTAATTATGTGTAATCAATTTCTATTATCACTTGTGCATGCAAGTAATTTTAACCATTGGCTACCTCGTAAAAATATCTATCATGCAATCTGCCTTCGTAGTCTTAATATTTACAGATCAGCTTTGTGTAAAACATAGCGTTAAAAGCAAAGTGCATTCCTGTTATTTAATCAATATTTTAAACAAATGTGACTGATCTACCCATTCACATTAATATTTTCATTATGAGATTATATATAATAATTATTTATATTTATTCATGAATAAATCGCAATTCGGCATTATGGTACAAATTTTATATGATATTATTAAATAAAATACCATTTAAGGATAGAGAAGTACAGTAAATTCAGATACAAATGAGCTCAAAAAAGCCGGAAAACAGTTCTCAAAAATAAAAAAAATATTAACTTTGGGAGTATTAATTGCCCTTTCTGATGGTTTTAGGAGTATGTATGGTCTAAATTAGTCCAATCTTGAATGATCTTTACTACAATTGTGACTTTGGGCACTATTTTTGATCACTGACCAATTAAAAGATGTTTTGAAAAGAATCAACAACTAATGTAAAATTACAGCCTGACCAAACATCCATATACTGTCATTTGGTTGGTCATTGAACAGTACTTGAATGATTTAATACAAGCATTGGAGATTTAAATGTCATTCAATTGAAACATTATATCAATAGAGCTAGAGAAAAATTATGTATTTATCTAGTCATCAAGTTAAAATCACATCTTTTGTTTTTTTAAAGATTTTGTTAGATTTTTAGAAAATATGAAAGAAACATTCATTTTTTGTGAAAAATCAAAATAAAAGTAAAAGTACAGTGGCCCCTCGCTAAGTCGCGCCTCGGTAAGTCGCGATTCGGCTAAGTCGCGGGTACTTGGATGGCTCCCAAAATTTCTATTGTATTTTGACAGCAGTTTTGA